GTCCTTGTATCACCGTAATAGTTATTGTAACTAAATAAATGCAATTGATTACTATATTAGCTGCAAAAGTAATTCGACCCTCATATTGCTTTCCAGTAATTTCGAGAAACAGAAAGTAATAGAAATATCTCGGCGGCCGGTTGAAAACTATAAGCCCGGAGATAGCATCTGCTCTCAGTTTAGCAGTTGTTTAGGTATTGTTGTTGCGAGTTGTTACTTCAGCGTGACTTGAGATATCTTTGGGTTAGCTTTCTCTTTAGACGCGTTTTGCATTGCGTTGTGTTTAACGTTCTTAGTAGTTTGAAGCTTATCTACTGATTTTACTCTGTGATATTCTGAACACCTGTGCGAGTATTTCTATGGAAAATTCCAGAACTTTTGAAGTGTTTCATTTGATTAAAATAAATTTTATTAACCTATTAACAGACCTATGTGCATTCAATCTATTAGGAACACGTATGCACGCGACATTGTTATTATTATACAGTCAAAAGTCGTTAATCCGGACTCGTCGGGACTTCGGCGATTCCGGATTATAGATCATCAGTTTAAATCTCGTAAGATGGCATGCAGAAATTCTAAAATTAAAAATATTAAACCGTAATTTATGAAATAAAGAACAATTATGATCTAAAGGGTATCAAAATTTACAAAAAAAAAAAAAAAAAAAAAAAAAAAAAAAAAAGCTTAATATTTATTTGTTTACTTTATTAAACATTTCTTTCAATGTAAGTTGTTTCGTTTTATGTGATAATACTTTCTCTTTAATTCTATAAACAGACATAATTTCTTGTTCAGTTACAAAGTTCCGCTGTTCAAGTCCCGTTAATTGCTCTGCCGAGAATACCGACTAACTTGTCAATCGAAATTTTTTCGTTTTCACTAACCTCTCTGTCACATTCTTCATGTCTTTATCCATTTTTTTGGAGCAATTCCACTTTTTGTTTGTTGGACATCGAAACACACTTTCGTTTTGTAGATCCTTTGGAAGTTCCAACATCGGAAATTCTATTTGACATAATCGAAATTTCGAGTTTACTTTTATAAAATTGCTCTTACAGTCTGCAAAAAATAATAAGCGGGATCCAATTCGAAGATTAAGGAACAACGCAATCATTAACATTAACTGAAATAGATAATTAGATAATTTTAGCTTACACCGTCCGTTATACATTAAACGCTCAGGCGAAAACGTATTCTGCACTTGCGCACATGCATATGCGCAATAGTCAAAGTCTTACGCGCACGCATAAAACGCCTGTGCGCATGTGCCAACGCGGCGCACGCGCAGAAAGTTTTTAGCTTTGAGGTCCGGATTATAGATCATTCCGGATTATGGGTGTCCCAATTAACGACTTTTGACTGTAATATGGTTGCCTCAAATTATCATGCATTTACCACGTATGTGTACAATATAGAGTTGCATTTATCGTTCTATCTTAGGGAAGGAATGAGTAGCGAATAACATCAAAAAAATTCCACCACGCGGTAAATATCTTTTGATGCAAGGGATCACTTTGAGTAAACAAATGCTCTTCTTTTTATTCTTTTCTTTTGAATCGGCTATTTCATTTGCAACAACTTAATACATAAATTCAAAAGTAAAAGATATAATTATTTTGAAAAGAGTTTAAAATTATGAAACAAATAGCTACAAGTATTTATATTAACTTATTCATGACTGCATGAGCTCTATAAAGTAGTTATTATGATGCAGTGATAAATCTTAGCACCTTGATTTTTTAATTCCTTTGATCTTCTGTTAGTGAGTCAAAAGGTGTTTTGAGGGTATTGCAATATTATGTAAAATATTATTTTTCTAATAATTTTCATCACGTAAACATAAATAATCGAGTTTAATCATCATTTGGATGCTATTATAATAATGACCTTAACCAAATCATATAGGTTTAAGTTATTTCAATACGGCAAAGCACGCAAAACCATCTACCTCAGAGAAGAGATGCATTCTTAGAGGAATTTCGAAGGAACTGACTCATATTCGTGTTACATATCGAGAAAACCACGGAAACCCACCATGCAACAAACTCGTACGTCTGAGATCGAACTAAGTCGAACACCCAGCATTCAGCGGTCTTAACTACACTGGTGTAAGAAATAAAGAGAATTTTCATATTGGATCTACGATCTCCAGAACTACTGGGCAGATTTTAATAAAATTTGTTGCGACATAGGTTGATATAATACAAACAAAATAAACATTCAACAGTTTATAATAGACACACATGTTCGTGTATATCACTCATGGAAGTCTGAAGGTCTGAAACAGCGGTTGCAGAAGATATGGATTAATAGGGGATATGGTCGCCTCTTACAGCCATACAGGCTTCGCAGCGTGATATCATACTGGAAATAAGGCAGTTTATCAGTGCCTGTGGCAAGTGTTCCCACTCATTCAGCAACGCTGTTTTCAGTTCCTGGATGGTTCTCGGAGGGGGATTGTGAGTTGCAGTTGCTCTCCCCAGAGGGTCCCACACATGCTCTATAGGGTTGAGGTCTGGAGACCTGGTTGGCCAATCCATCCGGTTAATATCCTCACTCTCGAGAAATTCGTCGACCAAAAGAACTCTAGTTCATCTTACAGGATGATAACGCGAGGCGTTATCATCCTGTAAGATGAACTCGGGGCCCACTGCACCCCGGAAAAGGCGAACATACGGCTCCAAGACCTCATTCCTTAACCTCACACCAGTCACAGAGCCTCTCTCAAGGACGTGAAGAGGTGTGCGGACATCCAACGCGATGCCTGCCCAGACCATTACATTGCCACCGCCATAATTGTTGATTTCGCGGACACTGGAGGGTAGGTAGCGGGTCCCTGATTCTCTCCATATGAAAGTACGGTGAGAATCGGTGTTTAGGCTAAAACGGGACTCGTCGGTCAACAGAACGGTGGCCCATTACTCCGTACTCCAATCACTATGCTCCTGCACCATGCTACTCGGACGCTCCTGTCCGTAGACGTGAGCGGGATGCAAATAGCCGGTCTTCTGGCAAACAACCCTCTCTCTTTTAGTCTTTTGGAAACAGTCACCCTTGTTACACGGGTTCCTGGTTGCTGCATACAGGTCCCGAGAGAGCTGAGAAGCTGTAGCCCCTCTGTTGCGCCTCGCTAAAATGAACAAATAGCGATCTTTGGCCGTTGTAGCTCTTAGATGACCTTGCCCAGGCTTTCTTTCGATGGATCCAGTTTCCTGGAACTGTTTCCATAGGTTACACACGACGCTTGGCGTTAAATTAAATTCTCTGCTTATCTGGACTTGCGATTAGCCTGCCTCTAGTCTTCTCACGATTCGCCACCTCATTCCATCTAAACGTTGGTGGTTAGTCATTTTTACTGTTCCGATGTGAATTTAACCGATTGCTGCAAGATAACACCAAGAAATTCGCCGAGATGTGCTAGCGAACGCAATTCGTCCTACCCTCCACTAGCTTATAAAGCCTGTTTTTCTGCTGGCTTCGCCTACACACGTGTACACTTATGTATTTGTCGTACAAGATTTGCATTTTTATCTAGAAGCAGTGTCTTTTTCCCTTCAGTTCAGTTCTTTTCATGCAATTCGATAAAATATGCGAATTCTCTTAATTTATTTCACCAGTGTACTTAGCCGCTGGTTCACCAGTGTACTGGTGGAACTATTCATTGTTAGTACCATACTGCAGAACATATACCGCATTCGCTTGCGTACAAGACGCACTTTTTTTCTTTGAAAATAGGTCTGGAAAACGGGGTTCATCTTATACGTCGATACTCAGTTTATTAGGAGTTAGCATTTCGTAAATTTGTGAATGGGTCCAAGTTTCATGGGATGCTTTAAAATACAGAGACAGTGGTTAAATCATTTAAGAAGTGTGGCATTAGTAATGCACTGAATGGTACAGAGGACAATTTGTTGTATGAAGATGAGGACTCAGATGCTGATTTAGAAGAGGTTTCAAGTGACTTTTCACTAGATGAGTGTCTGGGTTTTGAAGTAGAAGATTAAAAGGTGTTCTTTTCCAGATAGATTGGGTATTTGTAGAAAGTATTGTTTCGTATTTGTATTGCTTTATATTTAAAATACTGTAAATTCATTATAATGATCAGTAATAAAGTTTTATCCTTCAAAAATGTGTATAAAAAAGGGGGTGCGTTTTATACGACGGTAAATGCTAAACCACCATTTGAAGGAAAGTCTCGAAATTACGGATTTGAATGGAATTGTTGGAAATTAAATAGTTGTGAAGAATAATTGGAAACAAGCATGTGTTTTCCAACTAAAATTAAATAGTTGGAAAACACATGCTTGTTTTTGACTTTGGCATTACTAATTCATACGCTTAAAGGACGAAAAACATCATATTTGATACATAGCATTTTTAAACTTTTTTTTTTAAAAGCCCAAAGGAGCAGTTTGCCCTGAAGGGCAATTAATTTTGTTTTAGCAGTTTGCGTCGTCCACTATAAAACAGCGTTTCACTTTTTAAATTGTTGCCACCAAATATTAGAGCCCTGTGTTATATTTAACGAAATTAAATAATGAAGAATGTGCATGAATGTATGTATGTTTCTTACACTGTGAATACACCACGGTACCTAGAGACATCAAATTTTAAATAATTTAGTCCTTCACCCGAATACGGGTACCTGGAAGCCCGGATTTGGAAATTCGAATTTGTTTTATTGCCATTTTCATATTTTGTAAAACTTTTAAATTTTGATTAACAAACTCAATGATTTCAAAGCGAGCAATGGCAACACTTCACGGGGGCGGACCATTTTTATTTCCAGCGTGCGAGATTGTCTATCCGAAGTTCTAAAGATATGCTATTTTTAAATATTGTTAGCCCAAAGGGACATCAGCCTAAATGCTCTGAAAACGTGTGTGTGTGTGGGGGGGGAACACCAGCCTATTTGGGTTTAATATAAAATCTGAAAGCTTTCGAATATTTTTATATTTGTTTTTGGATTCTATTGATATTTGGCATTTTTCTTATAGGGTCTACTGATATGAAAAACGAAGATCTGAGTCCTATATTCTACTCGAGTAAGTATTTCTCTGGAATTTTTTATTTTTATTCATTTCTAAAAATTATTGCGTTATTAGCTGAATGAAGGGATAAAAATCTACATAAATAATTTGAAATGTTAATATTGACTTGGGATTTTAAAATGGTCTTTAAATGATTAGCCATGTTAGAAAAATGAAAACAATCTATTGCTGTCGTATGCAGACCATTTCCTTTTGTTCTTTTATTTAAAACTGAAATTAAAATCATAATTACCGCATTCGAAATTAGATTTCTTGAAATATGAGACAGTAATTAAATCTTGATTAGATTAATTTTTTGTGTAGTAGCACGAATGTGTATTTGTAAATCTCGCAACAAAATTTGAGTTCAATAAATTTTAATGGTGAAATATTAATTTTACTTGCAGTGCTGTATTATGAAGCTAAAAGGATTTCATTCTGTTGCCATCATATAAAATGAAATTCATTTTAGAATCAATATCATTTTGAGAAAATTGAGTTTTATTATAGTTTTGTATGTTTTTTAAAATACTTCGAAGAAAACCTCTTCGAGTTGTTTATTGTTTTCACTTCTCAGATATTGAATAATACTGCAGAGCAGAAAGGATTGCCACTTGAGAGAAATATTTATTACAAACCTTGTTCTAAAGTATCTAGTGTAATGAATGCATAGCTGTGGTATATTAAGTCTCCAGGTAGTATTAAGTTAGGATGAACTAATATTATACCGATTTCTCCACCTCTCCAATCATTTGAATTTGTCTTTTTGAATTGTTCATCTATAATTATAAAACATAAAATTTGTTTTTGCGTGTGTTACCCTATAACGTAGAGACAAATAGACCAAGAATGCGAAATTTGGTGCATTTTTTTTTCATAGCGTCACTTGTGGAGGAGCGAAACCTCTGCCCCGTTGGGTCATTTATTTATCTAACGGAAAACTCTTCGAAACATTTTTTTTTTTTTTTTTAAATTAGAAAAATCCCCTAACAAAGCTTTATTTTTATGAGATGTAAAATTTTCAAAATGTTACAAGCCGTAGATTTTCTTATGCCAAAATTAGATGTTTCATGTGAAATGCTCGAAATCCAGAATAAAGATTGAAATTTTACAATGATTAGTTTGATCGCTAAGCATGGATAAGAATATGAAGAATCTATTAGAATGTGTATATCTATTAGAATGTGTATAAAATCTATTAGCCGAATTATGTACTGAAGAATCTATTAACCGAATTATGTACTTCTGCACCTTTGCACTTTTATTATAGGTTTATTCATAAAATCCCACCTGCTAAAGCGGATAACAAAACTCGGCTTTTGCCGCCGAAGCAAGCGTGTTTAGAATTTTGTTAATGTTAGCAATCTATTTGATTAATTTATTGATGAGATATTAACGGACGATTTTTCGACACTTGATTTTCGCGGTCCCCTTATCAAAATGACGCCAAGATTATTGCCAAATTTTAACTGCTTGCATATTGCTTGTGGCTGCTGTATCTCTGCGATTATTTTTATTATGGCATCATAAGCCTTATTATCTTTCCCAGACGATTTCCGCCGCATGAATTCTGAAAGATACGACTGTAGATGATGTCAGACCATTTGTTTCGCCATTTAACTGAGCTCTACACTCTTTCCACATTTTAGATGTGAGCACCTATTGCTGAATAAACAAAATTAAATGTGCAATCCACAGTTAAAAGGCTGTAATAAGCCTTTTGGAGCTCGTCTGTTTTATAGACTCACGAATAATCTGACTATATAGTTGATCCTCCCACTTCGTGGTCTACAGTCGTTGATATCGGTCTGCTTGCTTTCCGATTTGGAACCTGAACAAGAAAGCACTCGTCACTTTCACGGCATAACCTGCCGAATAACTATTGTCGTGGAGATATCCTGCTGGAGTAATTTTCCCGCCACACGAAGAATCTGTTTTTTTTTTTTTTAGTCCAAAGGGATTTGAATCCCGAAGGACTATTAGTTTCGTTTTGGCATTTTGCGTCGGACTCATAAATGTCGGTTCACTTTTCAAACTGTTGCCACAAAATGTTAGAGTCCTGCATTATATTTGAAGAAATTAAATAATGAAAAATCTGCATAAATGTATGTATATTTCTCGTATTGTGATAAAACAACGGTACATAGAGTCATCGAATTTTGAATAACGAAATCCTCCAACGAATATGAGCATGTGGAAGACCAAATTTGAAATTTGAAATTTGTTTTATGATCGATTTCCTATTTTTTAAAACTTTGACGAATTTTTGATTAACAAACTCAAGGATTTCAAAGCGAGCAATGGCAACGTTGTGCAGAAAAAACATTTTTATCTCCAGCGCGTGAGTCTCTGTATCGGAAATTCTAAAGATATGCTCGTTTTAAAACTATTTTGCGATATTGCTGTTGCACTGGATCTTATGGTTTAAGTGCGAGGAACATGATATTTAATAAAGAAAGGTAACACACAAAATGTTAAAAAACGCCCCTTTGGACGTAATTTAAAATCTGAAACATTTCAGTTTTTTTTTTTTTTTTTTTTTTGGGTTGTCGAAGTAAATCTAGCGAAAAAAACCTTTCTCATAAAATTATTCCAGTGAATCGGGGTATTTTGACAGGTGTTGAACTGTTTATCGCACCATTTAAGGAACGTTAGTTCCTTTGCCCAACATTAGATGAAACGTTGGGCTGTTAAGAATGGTATTTTGGAACAGCTAAACCAGTTGTCGGATTGAATGCTCCTTTTTTTGTTTACAACTTTTCACGTAGCATCTCCACATACTTTCGTTTACGTATAATTTCATTTCGTGGCCATTTACTCACATTCGAGTGCGAGGTAATGTATTGTTGCTTGCGTACGGGATCGTAATAGATTGAATGCATGTCCGATAAAAGGTTATTAAAATTTATTCGTATCACAAGAAATATAACAAAACGCTGGAATTTTCCTCAAAGATATTCGTTCAATATCGCAATATTACACAATATCACGCAGTAGTTATATTTTAAACTGCTAAAACGTTAAATAGAACGCAACCCAAAGCGCAGAGAAAGCTAATTCGTTCTTACCGCGAATTTGCTACAACAACAACTAAGTAAGCAACTGAGGTGGGATGTTTCGCAGTTCTAGCAATTTCTGGAAAGCAAAAAGAGTGGAATTATGGTTACAGCTAACATAATAGTCAATTACATTTATTCAAATTAAATATCACTTAGGGAGATAAACTTATTCAATGTTAAATTCACATTCTCTTGTATTTTTTATTTCTCCGGCGTAGCTTTCTCTTAAAATTTGTCACGCGCTGCATTGCACGGGAAAATAAACAATTTGAATTATAATTCTCTAAAAATATCTAACTAAATGCAAAATTCTTAACAATACCTTTTTCCCGGTAAAACGATATGGCTTCTTTCTCAGACTCCTTGGTAAATTAAAAATTGTCAGCACTTTTTTTTTTAGTGTTTAAATTGGGGGAAAAAATTATCAGGATATCATGTGGATCGTCTGATTCTTCAAATGGAAATTGAAAATAAAAGTTTTATTTATTATTTTTTTTAAATTTAATTTGGCGGTTTATCGCGGGGGACGTGAAAAATCAAGTTACCGATCCTTCTGTTCTGTCGCTTCTGTAACCCCCCCCCCCACACACACACTCCGAACTATGACTGAAACGACATTGAACTTCTAGTTGGTACTCCTCTCTTCTCTGTTACTAAAATAAAAGTAGTGTGCAGTATATCTACATTATTTGAGCTACAATATAGTTTATTAATATGTGAGCAGTATTTTACTTATCATCTGCTGCCGGTTCTTGTTATGATTTATATGGGGTCAATTATTAGACGTGGGACCATTTGAAATTTATTTTCGTATGAAAATTAGAGGTAGTTATTTTTTCGCTATTGTGCTATTTCGGCTTGCGAAAAATCTCATGGAGATTTTCGATGGTCTCGATTTGAAATTTCGAAAAATTTTCGTATTGTGCTATTTCGGCTTGCGAAAAATCTCATGGAGATGAATTATGTCTCGAAAGAAAAATTTTGTCTTCTCCTTTGTATTTATTCTTTAATAATAATAATAAAAAAAAAAAAAAAAAAAAAGTCTTTAATTTTTCTCATTGAATCCTTTTTTCGGAAATCAGAGCTATATTGAGTTTACGTACAATAATTTTTTCCACTTCAAATCATTAAAGTTTTTTTTTAAACTCCTACTATTAGTTCGTTCTTCCTATATCTTGTTCAAATTTTCAGTCGTTAATAAAATACTTTTATTCATCCGCTCAAGTTCAAATACATTTTTTTTTTAACTTGTACTGGATGACAATTGATGTTAATACAGTTTTTCACACATGAAAAAAATTTTTTTTTTATTTTAAAATTTTTTCTTTGTTGACCTAAGTAGGAATTGACTTTATTTAATTAAATTTTTTTATTTAATTAATTATTAATTAATTAATTTTCAATCGTTAATAAAATACGTTTTATTCATCCATTCAAGTTCAAATACATTTTTTTAAACTTGTAGTGGATGACACTTGATGTTAGTACAGTTTTTTCACATATTAAAATTTTTTTGTATTTTAAAATTTTTTTATGTATTTTAAAAATTTTTCTTTGTTCACCTAGGTAAGAACTGACTTGAAATTTTTTTTTTATATTACTTGTTTCGTATTTATTACTAGGTTCTATCTTGCTTTTCCTCGCGTACAAAAAATAATCGTTCGTAAGCAAATAAACTTGCATTCTTCGTTGCTTTAAATTAACTATTTATTTAAACTTTCGGTGTTGTTTCCATTATGCAAATGCGGCAGATTAGACATTCCGCTTTGAAAGGAAAAAGAAAAAAAAAAAAAGTAGAGACATGGGGAGAAAACCGTATTAAGAAAGACGGAAGTAAACAATTTAAATTTTTAATTTTATATGAGGATTGCGGTATATTAAAAATAATGGTGTAATAAATGAAAATAAGCGCTGAACGCGTTTCGAAATTTCCTTCCGTATTTTTCGTATTTTATT